CCCCACCCCCACGCCCAGGGGGCAGGAACAGGGAGAATGAAGATACCCTGAACTCAGCCTACATTAGAACCATAAAACCTTACAATAACAGGGCATGCAGGCCAAGTCCTTCCCCAGGAAGGAATTCCTTTTACGGGATCAGTGGTTAACCACCACTCCTGAAGTTTTCACTGCTGGGAGCACATCACTTTACAAAAGAATTCATTCTAATTTTGGACAGTTATAAATTGCATGAAATTCTTTCTTACACTGAGTTGAAATCCTTATCCTGTAATCTCTATCCCACCTATCTTAGTTCTATCTTTTAGGGCAATGCAAAACAAGTTTCCTTCACCTTCCATATCTTCTTCCTTTGAGTATTTAAAGGCAAGTGTTGGATTTCTCCTTATTTTTCCCATCTCCATATTAAATATTAGCAGTTCCTTCAATTATTTCTCACATGATATTGTTTCCAGATGCTGCAAATAAGTTGGAGTGTACTTAAAAATTCTCCTAAATAGAATTCAAAGAAGAGATCGAGGAGTTCATTTATTTCTCATTTATTTTATATGTGTAATTAACACAATCGTAGAGACTTTCCAGAACCCAATGCCTCACCCAAGAGCTGTACCCGTGCTAGCTTCCCTGCTTCTGATAACTGACCTGTCTCACACAGACAGACACATACACCATGGGGGTGGTTCTAGATACAACATGGGTCAGAGAACCTCGTCTCTCAGCCCACATTATTGGTTGAAGGGGTAGGCATAAGTTCCAAGCTGGAATAACCAGTCATTCCTCAAATTTCAAACTAGAGCTCAGAGAAGAACTTGTTTTCCTCTTAGCTTATGGAGCTATTAGATGTGAAGGTCATTTTCCCATTTTATGGAATGAGCCAATTTGATAGAAGGAATGCGGGAAGAGAGACCCCAAATCTCTAGTACCAGTCATTTGTGTAACCATCTCTACTCACACCCTTCCTGTTGTCTGGTTATATAAGCCAATACATAATCCCTCTGGCTGAATTGAGTCTGAGTTACTTTAGTATCGTTTGCAGCACGGAGCGCCCTACATAATACAATATCCACAAAATTCCCACTACTCTAACTGAACCAATGGAATAAGGATCATAAGAGAAAACCTGTCATCCCACAATACAAAAGGATATGGATGGACTCTCTTTACAGCATTATTTAAGAATGGGAGCGATACTTACCAAAGAAGATTAAGGTCTATCTCCCCTAACTGCCTAAATTCCATAGCTGACACTGTTTGTTCAAAACCATATACTGTCACAGATAACTGGAATGTAGCAGATGCTTAAGCCGCTCCCTGCTATACTTTTCATAGTAAACAGAAGAAATAGTAGGCAAAACACTGAATATAAGATACAAAAATGAAGACACTAATTCGCTGGCAAAATGTTAGACATATTGTTTCCCATCTTTAGCGTTCGGATTCCCCCCTTGCTATGTAAGATGGTGAGACTAGTTTTTTTTTTTTTGGTCTTTTTTCAGTCATAAAATGCTACAATTCTATCCATGTTCAACAACAACGGTAAAGAAGAGCCTTCTAAAGATCTGTGCATGCAGATAAAGGGGGGAAACATATAGTAATAAAGAAAGAAAAATATAAAGATAGTAAAAAAGGATACTCTACAAAAGAAATAACTGGAAAAAAACAAAATATAAACAATGGGTCAAAATCATCAGTAACATGATAAAAGAGGTCATTTAGATGTGCCATCTTCCTGTTAGCTGCTCCGGGATTCCTGTGATCAGAAATGCCCTCTGGGCTAGATCCAAACCCTAGCCTTGGAGTCCTGCACCATCTTGGACCCACATAACCAATACAATGATTCCTTCACCTCCGCCTAGCATCTGGTTTCAGAATTGGCTTCCAACTTCTGCCTTTCGTCCTAGATGTTCCCATCTCCTCTCTCAGCATTCCAGGTAGCTGTTCTTATCCCCAACAGAATGTGTAACCAATGATATTACCTGTTCTTCTATCCCTGTTCCCCACACTGCCCCCACGGTAGGTCCATAGTTTTCAATTTATTGCTTAAATTTGGAACTTAGGATACTGTGTTAGTACAAATAACCATAAAATGGCATCTCTATAAATTAAGGTGGCTCATTTGCACTGAGCTACCCTAAGGGACAAACATGAGATCCTTTTGTGACAGATGGCCTTCATTAGAGAAAATGTTATTACAATTGACAACCTTGTATGGATTTTTAAGTATTACTATATAACCTGTTGCTGTGGAGTCAATTCTGGTAAGTATTACTATCAACCAGCATATATACTCTGCCAAGCATTTTGCATGCTCATTTATTTCTCACAATACCCCTATGAGGGTGGTACTTACATCTTAAAGATGAAAAATCTGAGGCTCAGAAAGAGTAACTTATTCCTGGTTACACACTAAGTATAACACCCATATCCGTCTGACTCCAGAATCCTTGCTCTTGCGCATTAAGTGATCCACAGGGCTACTGATCCCTGAGAGAAATGGGGCAGGGGTGGCATGGGGGCCAAAGCAGAAGAGACTAGGGAACTAAAATCAACACGATCTACTTCACAATTTTGCTTAAAGTCAGCCCTATTTGAAGTAGAACCTTGTTCCCATTATGTAGCCATAGATCATCTGCCATTTTGCACTGTGGAAATGCACCGTCCATTATCCAGGCTAATCTAGTTGAGTGTAGAATGCTATATACAGACATGAGCATGACAGACAACCAACTCAATCTCCTCTGCTAGGAAGATGCTACTGTTAACATCTGTTCAACTTTTTTTCATATAGCTTTTGATGCAGAGTATCTCACATAAGCCACAACAATTCCTTCCTACAGTATCTAAAGAAGAAAACAAATCAAAAATTATTGGGAAGGGGAGAAAGGGTAGGGAGCAAAAGGAAAAAGGATTATAAAATGCAATGCAAAAAATAACCACCACAAAAAAAGTTTTTTAAAAAAAGCAAACTGATGCAGGGTGATTATCTGATAACCTGTGAGTCAACGAGAAATGAATGTTTATGGTCTATAACTAAACAAAGAAAATAGTCTGTGCAATAGAAACCATATGTTTAATTAGCCAATATAGAATTTCTCTAGGTCACAAAGTAGAGAGATATTGAATATTTCCTGTAGAAGTGAATTCTTACTGCTTGTAATTTATGCAGGATCTGTAGCAGCAGTAGCTAATTTCATCACTAAGAAAAATCTAATTATTTTTAGAATCCATGTCCTACTCTAATCCCTGCAAAATCTTCATCTATTCACTAAGACTTATATATACATTGGTAGAAAATAATGCTGACCCTCCCTCTCTACAAGAGTCATTAAAAGTTCCTACGTTTAACAATCGATGTTTCCAGTCTTTAACAGAAGGCGGGAAGCAGACTTGCAAACCCTTTGAGGTCATTCAGTAATGAATACGTACAAGTCCAAATACAAAGAGTACAGTATTGAATGAAATATAGCATCGATTGTCTTTTATGTGTTGGGAAGTTGGGAAGTTACACTTAATTGAAAAACTAAGTTTGAAGCTAAAATAGAGTGGGAGGATCTAAAATAATACATAATTACAAATCTTTAAAAGTAAAAGATCCTTAAAATATACTAAAGAAAGAACCTAAGGCCTTCATTCCAACTCCAATCACTTTCCTAATCTAACCAATTTCTATTAAACAGGGAAAGGAGCAGAGGAGAAATAAAGTATTTGAAAAACTGCCAGAGTAAAAAACCCCAAATGAAATTTTGCTCATTCTTGAAGAAATGAAGTAGAATTAGATGCTTCAGTGGTGGTGAATTCTAGAATCTGGGTAGCTTCCAGCAAATGAACCTTTTCTGTAATGTCAAATGCAAAAGCTATCTGACATCAACATACTGAGCTTGAGTTTTTAAATTCCTATTTCCTTACACCAAATTGTTTGAAATATTTGAGATAAAAACTTCTGAACTAGTGTTCCAAGCTTTTAATATTTTAGTCCCTTGAGTGAGCATGTCAGATTAATTTTCAAATTGTAATGGGCAGGAAGAACATTCAACCAAATTCTGAAGCCCCTGTCTCTCTCAAAGGGTGTTAATAATGTAAGCAGTTTCACTGACTATTAAGAGTTCTAACTTTCCTAATTCTTGGCATATTGCTGTTTAAAAAAAAAAAAAAAAAAAAAAAGGAGGAGGAGGAGAAAGCTGTTCCAGGCTGAAATGAAGGGATCTTACTTATTATATCTTTGTATCCACTAAGCATTTAGCACACAGCCAGGCACACAGTAGGCCTTTCATAGACACTTCCGGAATGAGTTGATGGAATGGACTAGGGGGAGAATGGAAATCTTGCTGAGACCACCAGCAAGAGTTCAAATCCCGGCACTGCTCGGCAGCAAAGATCATCTCCCGAATTAGGGTTACGGAGGTAGAGCAGGAATTTGAACGTGTATATTCAAAGCAGTATCAAGAAGATTGTTTCCCGATCTGGCGGGCAGCCATCCAAGAGCCACTCATCAAGAGAGCACACTCGTCTCTGACTTCACCGTGCCTGGAAAACTCCTGCCCTGCCCTCTACTTCAGCTCCACCTGCCTGTTACCACCCCCTCGGCTCCAAGTGTTGGGTTTCCACTCAAAAAACTTAGGTACCAGATTCGACTTCGCAGGTCTAACCCAGACCCTCCTTCCCCGGCCCCGCCACAAGGGCATTCCATGGGGTTTTGGGGGGGTCAGTCTGGAGGGAAGCAACACCGTGCTAGGCACCAGGAAAGAAACACACGACGGCTGTGGACACCTTCGAAGGTGAAAGGAGGGGGGCGGGAAGCAGTGGGGACTGGGGGGAGGGGAGCGAGTTCAAGACCACAGCACTATCCAGAGGTTTCTTACCCCTCTCTCAAAGCCTCTGCTCCAACGGCTCGAAGAAATCGGGGAACCACGCGCACGCCCAGGGAGCGCGGGGCTGCCCGGGGTCGGGACTCAGGGGAGAGGGCTGGGGAGGTGGGAGGAAGACGAGGCAGGGAACAGTACCTGCTGTGGCTGTGGTTGCGGGGACAGTCCTTCTTCTCCATGATGGCCGGCACGCAGTTGGTGAGCTCCGTCCAGTCGGCGTGCAGCCCGCAGCTCCAGCCCGTGGAGAAGCGGGAGAAGAGCCAGGTCTCCTTCTTTCCCGGCCGGTGGCAGGTGCACTTCTTCTGGCCCGCTTTGCAGCTACACGGCTGCTCCAGCCGGATGTTCTTCACCAGGTGCCGGCCGAACGTAGTGCCCCCAGTCTTCTGGATGTGCAGGAACACGATCACGTCGCGCCCTTTGATGTTGAAATCCACGAAGCGGGTCAGGTCGTTCAGGGTGAAGTTGAAGCGCGGCACGAAGCGGGGCAGGGAGCCGTTCTCGGGGGTCTCCGGGTCCGGCTCCTCGTCCTCCTCCTCGTCCTCCTCCAGGTCCCCTGGCTCCTCCTCCTCGTCCTCGGCCGCCACG